CGTGCGTGCGTGCGTGCGTGCGTGCGTGCGTGCGTGCGTGTGTGTGTGTGTGTGTGACAATTAATATTAGCACCTGTGTATTTTGGTTACCTTTTGGTAGTTTTTGTGTTCATGATTGTTTTATTTTTCTTTATGGTTTGAATTTCTATGTGCCTTCAGTTCAGTTTCTCCCAGTGCATTTCCCCTGTTCAGCTTCAGCTCCTTAGCCTTGCAATGCCGACACTCACCTGTTCCCTGTCTCYTTAGACCCAGCTGTTTGTCTTCTCGTTTACCTCAGCACCAATAACCTCTCTGTACCAGTCTATAGATCAGTGGAGCATTTCACATCCCAGTCCCGGTTCCAGCCTTCCTGCCTGTTAGTGCCTCCTTTTTGTTTTCATCCTTTTTGCAATTTGTTCTGTCACCATATCAGCCTTTTTTTTGGGTTCATAAAAGTCTTTATGTAATCCTTTGAGATTCCTCAGTTAAATCTGCATTTCCTGGGTTCAAATCCTCCTTCCATGACAGTTAAAGGCTGAACAAGACACCAGCAAAAGCTCAGGCTGTTACACAGAAATAGACAACTGAAGGACTCAATTTAGATTTAATACATCATGTAAAATTACCTAATTCAATGGACACTTCAAAGTTGTTGACTGTGTTATCAAATTATGGAATCAAAACAYATCTGAAGCATTTCAGGTCAGATGATAGCACTGTACCTGTGTAAGGCAGAAAGTCGTGGTTTGTTATTGTGACGATTTTCCCTTAAAAAGAAGAAAATTACTTACCTTTGGCTGAACAAGAGTAAAATGAGTCAAAATTAAATTTAATTAATTTATATAAAACGTAGCATTTACTTGTTTTGATGACATTTTGTCACCAAATTGCCATGTTTGTTGTCCTTGTAAAGAACCATTAAAGAAAATCTCAATCTTCCTAGTGCAAAAAGAGTAAATAAATAAATAAAACAAAATCACACTCCTTTGGGTTATTTTTTTGGAAAAAGAAACTAATTAAAATGGACTTTCTTCACCTTAGGCAACCCCCCACCACACACACACAACAGTGAAAATAAAACATGTCAAATGTAGTCTGTGCATGTGTGTATATATATATATATATATATATATATACTGTATATATATATATATATATAGCTCTATCTGTAGCACTGGAAGTAAACTGGGTTGACTTTAAGGACAATTGGTGGTCACCATCACCCCACTAGATATTTTTTTTAAAGAATTTGTTGTGGTTTTTTTTAATAATGTGTAAAACTGACTAAAGCGTTCAATGTCAGCTCCTAAACTTAATCTGTTATACAGTAGACATTCTTCACATTTGTTTGTTTTTTCTTGGAATGTTTTGCTAACACAACAGACAAATGTACAAACAAGACACAAGCAAAATCATTTTTGCCCATCTCTTGCCTTTTGGTGTTGGGCAGTAATTATCTTTTTATTATATTTATCATATGGATTACCACATTTTATGACATTTTTCTTCATTTCTTTCCATGCCAAGACAGGATAAGTGCATCAAAAAGGATCATTAATGTTTTATTTCAGGATGCTGCAGCAGCATCACCGCAGCCTAATAGACAAAGTTTAATCTGACTCAATTTTTCAGAGCTTTAACATGCTTGCTTTGGGTATTACTGCTCGCCTTCCATGGCCTATAGCGCCCATTACAGTGGTCGCTTTTTAACCAAGTGCACCCCCTGCACTGCAGGCTACTGCTCACATTAGCACAGTGCCTAATGGGCTTTCTCTGTATTAGTAGCAATAGAAAGGTGCAATAACAGAGGCATGCAATTATGCACAATAACTAGGGAAAACATTGTTAACAGTTACCCCATTGCCTCTCACTCTCCAAGCTGTAAATGCATATTTCCCAGTGGAGGTATGATAATAACGCCTGGTTATTTGAAAACACCTTGTAAGGAGAACCTTGTGGCTCTTTTGATAAAGATTTCATTTCAGAAGCATTTTTATGCATAACTGGGGATTGGAAGGGGACTTTAAACTCCCACATTCGGCTTTGTTTATTTAATTTTTTTTTAGTCTTTCATTTCCTCTTTTGGTTTGGTAATCCATCACCCTGCATGTCATTGATATATTGATTGGGACAAATAAGGACATCAGCATGTAAGATAAGTAAAAACCTGAACAAACCTGGAGTTGATTCGAATACACGGCAGACCGCAGGGTGAAAGGGAAGAGGGAGGATTCACTGGATCTCAAGAGGGTAACACAGGTGCAGTATGAGATGAAAAATGCAGATCGAGGCAGATGTACTGAACCATTTTAAAGTTCCCAAGTGACCCCCTCCCCCAGCCCCCTTAAAAAAAACAAAACAAAAAAAAAACAGCTTTGACTTGAGTTTATGGTACCCATTCATAATCCTGCTTCTGCAGCGTGTCCAGGGGCCTAATGGGCAAACTGTCCATAATAATCTTGTTTTTATATTTTATACACAGATTACTGTATGCTTCAGTTGTTCTTTTGTTACGTTTGGACACTTAAGCAATGAGATTAGATGTTTCACATAAAAAAAGACACTAAAAATAAATAAATAAATGCTGAAGGTTAATGAAATACAGTATCACAGCAGGAGTACTAGAAACTCACAACACCCTTCATATCACCTCTTTAACTGTGTCTTTATGYTACATTAATGCCTATTTTTGTTTTTCATTAACCCAGATAGTTGTATCCTCTTGGATGTTTGCWCATTAGATGTAACATTTGTTTAAYATTTGGCTACATCAAGGAGAAAATCAGGGGCCTTTTTGCCAAAAKACATTTTGAAAGCAGGTGTGGGACCTTCACAGTTTAGATTGGGAGATGACTACTCTGCTAAAGGATTTCTGTCACTGTAATRTGTATTTTTATAGGTCAGCACTTGGTGATCTAATTTGAGTTTGTGCTGGCCAAGACAATCCATTCACAGGTGGCTGACCAGCATTTTGTGTACTTGTACATTTGCTTACAGGCAGCCTATGAGCTTCACCTTCAATAAAGCAAGATCAGCTATGGACCAATGATGTTACTCTTTTTGATATGCCGTGTTGACATATTGGATTGCTATGTAATGTAGGAGTCTAGGTTTACCAGAATTAATAAAAAAATGTGTGGTATACAACCTGAGAGAAGTTGGCCCCGCCTACATTTTTCAAATTTTACAAAATCGGTGTCAAACATGTTGCCATCATTTTAAAGGTATTAATAAAATTTTCCAAATGACATCAGACTTTCCTTTTGATAAATCCTATAGTTAGGCTTAGGTTTCCTAAGTTATTCCTTAATTATTCCTTAGTTCTGCTGCTACAGGCTTAGACTGCTGGAGGACAAACTGACTCCATTTCCTCACTCTGCTGCTGTCTTTAGTCTCTCTCCTCTACATGTTTGTTGTAATTGTTTCTATTGATAACGTGTTTTCTGTCTCTCTACCAGAGGAAAATGCACCTGGACCAGTCCTTCTATGTTTCTCTGTGTCTATTTCGTGTCCCTCCAACCCAGCCGGTTGAGGCAGATGGCCGACTGTCCCG